CCACTCCTCTCACGTCATAGTTATCTCACATCTATCATGTCCGAGCTTCGCACCTCTCTCTCTCATTGTCCACATTGAGGTTCGTTTTGCATAAATTAGGATTTTAACTTTTCATTTGGGATTTTCAATTTCAAAATTAATGCTTTTTGAAATTAGGGTTTTAATTTTGGAGATTATTTCATTTTTACCCCTATACTTTGTCACGATTTTCAATGACTCCCAGACTACTCTTATTTTCACGCGTACCCCTACACTATTTAAGTTGCTATCAATTTTGCCCTTGCCATCAAATTTGAAATGAAAAAAGTTAAAAAAATTATATTTTGGCCCCAAATTTCAAAAGAAAGATGCAGACCCACCCTTTTTTACCAGCAAACCACCAACAACAACCACCACTTCAAGCCCTTCTATCTCCTTCGTCATAACTCCATTTCGCCTCATTTTTACGTCGTTGGATTCAACTCATGGTCTAGTTTTTGTATCACATCTCACACGTCTCATTCTTCCTCTTTTTGCATGCTATCGAAGCCTCGAAAGTTAATAAAAAAAAAAAAAAGACTTTTCTTCTTATTTTCGACTTTTTTGCGAGCCATCTTTTGGACTTCATATCTTTTTCGATTCTTGACGGTTCTATTTCATTCTTTCGCCATTCTCTTCACCTCACTTCCTACTTTGCCCTACATTACCTTGCTTTCTCACTTCTTCGTGTAATGGGCGGTTTTGGTATGCCGAAAATTGTCCGAAAACTAATTTCAAAATTTTCAAAACATTCATCTTTTGTTTCTTTCTTCTCCATCTTCCTCATTCTTCTTCTTCTTCTTCTTCTTCTTCTTCACTTATAACATGATGTGGAACATGGTTCTAGGTGGTAACGGAACTGGTGGTGGTAGTGGTCCGGTGATGGCGTTGAGTTTGGTGTTGTAAGGTGATGGTGATGGTAATGCTCATGGTGGTGGTAATGGAACTTGGTTGTGAAAAATGTGGGTTTGGTGTTGTAAGGTGGTGGTGATGGTAATGCTCATGGCGGTGATGTTGGTGGTTCGTGTAACGCCCCCATTTTCATGCCCAAATGGTAATACAATAATCATGGCCCTTTAAAGTAAAACTGATAATAAATCATCATACTTGCATTACATGATGTAAATAGTCTTCATGCGATAATACAGTTAATCCAACAACGATTAATTAAACAACAAATACCCCCAAGAGTTTACAAGTTTCCAAGGCTTGAGCCTGGTTACACAAAACGGTTATTCAAACCCACACATACAAAGCCCTTGGCTTACAATCAGAGTCACAGCAAATGAGCACATTATGCTCTCTGTACACACTTTCACGCCTTCAGTTAGGCGGAAACACCACATCTTTTCCTGCACAAAAATCCCGTAGGCTGAACATAAAGCCCAGTAGGAAATCCTTAGCAAAGTACATACATTTTATACAAGTCTTGTGAGATGGAATGCTTATGTTATGCCATGCCTTTTTGAAAGTAAAAGACACATTCACCTTTTGAAAACCATCATACCCAATGATGTCATGCAATTTCAACTGCTCAACATTTATCAAATTTATTCAAGGGGCGGTAAATACAACTCCGTAAATCCCTAGGTCAGTGTCTGCAAGTAGACTATACAAGTACTACCAATTTGTCATTTTTACTGGTATCATCCGGAACGCTCGACACCTCTAGTTTGTCATTTTTATTAGTGTTAGCTGGAAGACTCGACACCTCCAGTTTGTCATTTTTACCAGTGTTAACTGGAAGGCTCGACACCTATAATCTACATTACCTGTCAAGACTTATCACCTTATTTACCCCAAAACCATTTCATGAAAACTTGTTTCTCAACATTCCTTTCTCAATGCAAGTTTTCAAATCAACTTTCAAAGTTCAATATAATCAAATGAATTAATATGCCATGCAATGATTAATAATACAATGCAATATTTCTTCCACTGTCAATACTCCCACACAATACTCCCATTGTGATCAAAATTCTCATTTCTCACTTCAATGCAATTTCACAAGATGAATAAATACTTTTATTTCAATTCATCTAAGGGATAACAAAATTCCCGCATTTCAAACATTTCCAACAATTTAGTTATTTCAAGACTATATCAACACTTTTAAACAACAATTTCCAAAACTTCAACAATTCTCTTATTCCATGGAAAACCATCATTTATATGTAATAAATAAACAATTTTCAAACATTATTTATTTTGGCACACAAAATGAATATAACAACATATTCTAAAGATTTTCAACAATTTTCTTAAAAATCCACAATTTCTAGGTTTTCTCACTAAAAACCATTCATCTTCAAATATTAGAGAAGATCTCACCAAAAACATCTTTCTTTCATCAACATAGTTCAAAAATGCTCAATTTCTATTTTTAGAAGGAAAAGAAAGTAAACCCACTTTCAAAATCACTCATCTTCTTGAATCAACAATCAATTTTCAAAACTAATCAAAGAATGATTTCGAAAATATCTAGATCTTGCAAAAACATATATATAACTCAAAGAAAATCCCTGCCTCAAGCTTAGAAGAGAAGATGAGCAAAACAAGGTTGAAGCTCCAAAGTTGTCAAACCCAACTTCTACTTGGATCAAAACGAAGCTCTTGATAAGCTCTACACTTAATCTCAAAGAAGCAAGGCAAGAAGATGCTTCCAAGTGAGTAGATCTAAAGATCTTTGAGCAAAAAGTGATTTTGGAGAGGGAGAGAGTGACTCACGGCTTGGAGAAGGAGAAAGAGAAGAAAAAGTAAATAAAAGGTTAAGTAATGGACTTATTTATAGTGCTAGGTCATAATGAAATAAAGTCCCAAAGTCAACCCAAAAGATCAAGTCAAAATCCCAAAAAAATAGGCCCAAAATTGGACTGAAAATCTAGAAAAAAGTCTATAGGGGTCGACCCTATGAAGAAACTTATGTTTGACAGCATGCAAGAGGGTCGACCCTTAGACAGTAGGGGGTCGACCCTATTTTCCAGCAACTAACACACAGACATAAGAGGGTCGACCCTCTCCCAGTCTGGTGTCTACCCTATTTTTCAGCAACACTCCCAGAATTTCACCAACAGGTAAGGGTCGACCCTTAGGAAGGCTGGTGTCAACTCTAGAATAGAATTTCTAAGTTTCCAAGGGACTTTTGACAAGAACAAGTGCGAACAACCAAACCCAACAAGTTTAAATCAGATTATACTCCTCCAAAACCAATCCATAACAACACCAAAGATTTTCAAAATAAAAATAAAGGATTCAAATATTCCCAAAAGCTTTGAAGGACACAAATGCTGCAAAGTCTTTGAATGTTTGTGAAACGAGTCAATATCTTTGAGGGGTAACTCGTATGTGCTCTATGTGACTATGTGCTTATATGGTTTGCCTTATGTGATGTAGATACATGTGTAGGTTTATGTTTAATCCGTATGCAACGTGTTAGAA